TACAAAAGCCGCGCATTTAACTTTATCATTGCTATAAAGCTCAAGAATTACATGATTGGCACTTAGATATATCGAAACTGTAAGAATGGGCGTCCCTCGTTCAACATTCCCATCAGCTCTTCGACCGTCACTGACTCCTCCACCATTATATCAGTTCGATTCTTTTTTTTATTCTGGATTCTTAATTTCTACCTGATTACGGTGGGCCAGTTTTCGATCTTTGGTAATTACTCCTTGCACGCCTTCTTCTGGGCGCATATCTTGAGAAAACACCTAGCGTTGAGGAGTGGGGATTGGGGCGCATGTGTATTCACTTTTGCTGCCACCGCCGATCTGCCAATACATCTACTCCTCCGCCTCCACCTGAAAGCCTTCACATTATCATTCATCTAAAATTCCAAATCGGACGATAATTATTTTCATCATCACCATTGACTATTGAAATCATCATCTTAGAATCATCATAGCAAAAATGTTTGTTTTCCACATCTTAGCTAGTCTGTAAAGACGAAACATCATTATCCGCCTCGGGTAAAATCTCGTTAGTTCGAGATTAGAAATGGGCCACATATTTTTTCTTCTTGCCTAATCTCTGCCTGACGTTTTCTCTCTTTGACTCTCTCTCTCTCTCTCTCTCTCTCTCTCTCTCTATATATATATATATATATATATATATATATATATATATATATATATATATATATATGCATACATACAAAATTAAATGCATAGGCATGTACGTAGACGGCATCTGCGACTCAATTTGGAGTAGTGTCATCGCCTGATTGATCCCCAGATATGAACAGTGCTGACGTGGCTTTTTACTCTTGGTAGGGGTTAACACTCTCTATTTACTAGGGATTTCTATACATATATGGCTGACGAGGTTACCACGAGGCAGTGTAATGGTTAGCAGGATTGGCTCGCTAGAACAATTACGACTGAGTAATGAGTTCGATCCTCACTGGGTGCCCCATAATTTCGGCTTTCTGCCACATGTAAGCTACGCTTGGAAAATCACTGGGTACCTGGAGGGGGTGCAATGGTTAGCAAGCTTGTCTTGCTAGAACAATTACGACTGAGTAGCGAGTTCGATCCTCACTGGATGCCCGCTACTTTCGGCCTGGTGCCATATCTAATCTGCGCTTGGAAAATCACTGGGCACTTCGAGTCGGTGTTGTTAGCAAGCTTGTCTCGCTAGAACAATTACGACTGTGTAGTGAGTTCGACGCTCACTGGGTGCCCCCTACTTTCGGCCTTGTGCCACATCTAATTTCTTGGAAAATCACTATATGATGGCTGACAATTTATTAAACGAAGATGACCATCGCTGACAAGTTTGGTTCATTGTTTTAATTTTGGTGAGAACGCTAATGGTACTTGAAGGTAGCATGTGACTTGCAATGCTGACAGCCGACACGGCAATGGTTCTGTATGGAGATTGGTCTTCTCAAGTGAGGAGGAAAACCGGAGCTATTTCTGTAAGTCTACTTGCAAACCCGCGTGTTCGGTTATTCCCAATATAGTAGTTATCGGAATTTCACTTTTATTAAAACATGCTAGTTTGATATACATGTCCTGTTTATTCTTTATTTTATTCTATATATATATATATATATATATATATATATATATATATATATATATATATATATATTTGTACATGAACGCACAACTTTAAAAAATTTAAAATCAAACTCAGCGTTGCTACTGCGCTCCAAAACAATAATAACTCATTTCCAATAGCATTTTCGGATACAACAATACATATATTTTCGTTGTCCTCTTATTACTAAGAGAAAAACAAGAACAACATCTATTCTATACCTGAAGATGTCTGTAGGAACAGACGAAAGCTTGTAGTAAAAATAAGAACTAATACGGCAGAAATTTATAGAAACAAGGATCTTTTCATTCATAACGGATTCGGAGGTTTTTGTATATTATTTGAATTGTTTGCGACGATCGATTTCTCGCCAATTAAATCATTAACCTTTGCATTTGTTTTTGTGTGAATAATTCATGAATATATATATATATATATATATATATATATATATATATATATATATATATATAAGTATAGGATTGGTATATACGGAATGAATTCCAATAACCAACAATTACTATTCTTAAAAGAGTGCTCAATACAGAGTAGAGCAAATATAATTATTTATTTAAAAATTATATCATAAACATCTTATAAAATCACTACAAAAATAGCCATTTTGTTTCAACACATCTGGTGTCTTATTAAGTGATGATGTTTGTGGAATATTTGTAGGGGTATTCCGCGAGAAACGAAAGGCGTTGAAAGTGAAGTGAATGTGCACTAGTGGTGCAATTTTTTATTACGTGCGACTATATCCTAGAGTTGTGAAAGCGGAGAGGATATTTAGTCCCCACCCACGAGGGCATCATGTTGTACAAGGCCGGTTTAAATATGCCCTTTGAAACCGTATAAACGGGTTCAGAGTCGGTTTACTTCCCCGAAAGAGAATCCGCCCTTCGGCGGAGCCTCGTTCGGGTTCCACCCCGCCTGAAGGCAGAGAGTTCAACCGGTCAGTTGGTCGTCCGAATTCAGACTGAACTCAGACCGACTCGCTGAGCCTTGTGAAAGAGGAGAGAGAATGGGTGAGAATTTCATTCCCTATTTGCGTATGTTTGTTTTGTTCCTGGTAGGTTGAAAAGAAAAAAAATCAAATAGTGTGGTTGAGATGTGTGTGTTTAAAAATGTCGACGAAAATGTGTGAAGTACTGTCTTGAGTGTTCTATATAATTTTCTAGTGGGTCAGAATGTAACACGGTCTAAAAGATATGCCTGCAGTGTAGAAAGGGAGATCAAGGGTTGGTATTAAAATTTTGTTATTTTCAAATGAAATAATTTTGTTTCGAAGGTCTTTTTTGTTTTGCAGTGCATGGCTGATCTTTGTGCTCAAAATTTTTAATAGAAGCTTTGATTTGTGGAATTGCGGAGCTGATGCTGGTGAAATAGCTAGCGAGAGTCGAATGCATGTTTTGTGAAAACATTTAAAAGCATCCGGGCCTACTGTCGATTTTTTTTCTCGGAGATCAGTATATTATTAAATCGTACTTGCAGATGTATCTGTTAATCATGTTAACATCTTTAAAGAGTGAAAATTCACTGAGTCGACTTTAAATTGTTTCACATCTTTATCTGTTGATTCGAGGAGAATCAGTGGTGTTTAACATAGACTAGAGCTGACTTTTGTGTCGTTTGAGTCGTACCCTCCCGTGTCATTCGCGTAAGATTATTTGTGGAATCTGGGCGGTTTTCTTAAACAAAATGATCTGTGGTTTGCCTGCTTCAAACTTGTCAGACGAAAGTCAAAAGAAATTGTGATGTCTACGGGTGGAGGTAGAAGTCAGGGGTAATTATGCCAAAGAGAAAAGGCTAATATATATATATATATATATATATATATATATATATATATATATATATATATATGATGTAGAATTGTCAGTAAGAATTTTATTAGCATTAAGATTTAATTAACTCTGCATATTAGCAGACTTCTGTTGATTATATTTGATCAGAAGAAATCAATTAATGGCATATATATATATATATATATATATATATATATATATATGCTTGAGAGAAATATGAAATTAATCCCTCCCTATACTCTACCATGTCTCTTTAACTACTCTTTTTTACACTCTATGTTAAATTACAAAAACTTACACTACCCATCAATTTTAATTTCATTTTTCGTTTCATTTCATTTTTGGAAGTGCTATCTGATGATCCGTCGTCCTTTAAAAGGGCTCTGGTGAAATAAATTATTATAATGGTAACTTAAAGTGGTCTGTTTTTTTTTAAATTTTTATATATATATATATATATATATATATATATATATATATTAAAGACATTTTTATGTTTAACGTTCTTTTTATAGATACAAGTATTTAAGTAAATGATCTGTTTATAATAAACAGTATTAAATAACATTTACCGGCCTGAATGTCCGGGAAATTTTCATAGAAATATATGACGTCATTTGTTTACATTTGATACGCCAGAGCAGTTATAAATGTACGAGATTCATGGAAGATTGAAGTTTATAAGCGGTAAAATTCGACCTTGTCTACCGAACGCTTCTTTGTGGCCGATCGATAAGGCACGTCAGCGTAAATGACGTATAGGATGCAGGTTCGAAACCTGTCAAAGGACGAATATTTTCTATGAAAATTTCTCGGACATTCAGGCCGGTAAATGTTATTTAATACTGTTTATTATGAACAGAGCATTTACTTAAATACTTGTATCTATAAAAAGAACGTTAAACATAAAAATGTCTTTAATAAATAAATTGTCGGACTTTGTCTATTTCTTAATATATATATATATATATATATAATTTCAGAAAAAATATTCGGGAAATACTTATACTAACTTATACTTCCCTTGTCTTCATATATTGTAGATAAGGGAATTTTCATATTAGTTTGTTGGATGAATTTGTTTTTCTGTTGCCCTCTGTCGTTTAAAATTTATTTTATGCTGAAATTCATTATAGAACATTGTATTGATAAAGTATCTACCAGTAAATGGTGACTTGTAACTGTACGAATGTGTTTGCATGTGTTTTCTCGTCATTACATTCCCGAGAGGGACAAACTGTTAAAATATGCTTTCGGGTTGGCAAGGGTAAAAATGGGTGCAAAAAGCAGTTAAAACAATTATTACACAAAAATATTCACAAGGGCTCTTGGCAAGGAGAGAAAACTTAAAACAGTAAGTAAAACATGAATACAAAAAGCGGAAAAGTATATAAGAATATGGAAATAAAGAAGAATGAAATAAAGGAAAAGTAAAAAGAGTAAATGATTGAAAAAGAAAATGGAGAATGGTGAACAACAACCCTCCCACAAGCATAATGCAAATATAAACGGAAGAAAAGAGAAAGAAAAAAAAATGGAATAAAATGAACGAATATAATCGAGGGAACATGAAAGACAAAAATAATTTATTGAAAAAAAAAAAAAAGAAGAGAAAAATTAAAGAATATATATAAACAGGGAAAAATTAAGAAAATTGAAAGAAAATAAGAAGGAGATAATGAAGAAATAGCAACTGGAAGAATAAAACTGAAAGAAAATAATATTAAAACAATATTGAAAAAAAAGAAAACATTGAAGAATAGCAACAAGGAAAACTTTAAAACAAAAAAAACGAGAGAAAAATTAATAAAACGTAAAATAAAATAAAAAGAGAAACCAAGAGAAAAATAAAAGAATAAATAAGGAAGAAAAAAATATTGGATTGGTGCATAATTATCAGGCGTTTTTCTCAAAGCCTGAATTGCCTCCAAGAACCGTGACTTCTTTTCCCGTGGAATCGACCGTCTTTTAAGCCACAGTTATTGGATGTGCTGATAACAAGAAGTTAGAGCAAATATTTGCCACGAACACAATGGACAACAAACCACAGGTTTTATTATCACGGAGTTATACATCTGCGGTACTCCCAGTACACAGAAGAGTACAGCGGCTTTCGATGGTAATTTCACGTGATTTAGACAGCCGCCTGCTGAAGCGGTTTACAGGTTTTGGCGCGTGGAGATTTAGAGGATGGGTGAAGACCAGTGTTGCTTGTCCATCTTAATAATAACAGCAGCAGCCGAGTAACAAAGGTACTACATCTACCCACTGCCACTACACGTATAAATCATACACTGGATGTCGGAGTAAACAGTTCGTCATCAATGTGTAATATATTACTACAAAGTATAAATTATTACAAAATATAAGAAAAAAATTATTATTATTATTATTATTAATATTATTATTGTTGTTGTTTAAATTTTTTTAAAGATAAATATATATATATATATATTATATATTATATATATGAAAAAATAAAATAAAATAAAACAATGTCTTAATTATCAATGCAGAATAATCAAAGAATTACGACTGATAGAAAATACATTGAGAAGAATACAAAATGGTGAATGGTCTAGGATAATTGATGAAAGTTGAAGAAAAAACAATTCGACAAAAATAAGAAAAAGGAAAATAATCAATGATAAGAAAGAAAAGGGAAGCAATCAAAAGAAGTTAAAATAAATAAACGTGCATGAAAAAATAAACAATGTAAGACATATAAAAAGAATAAAAAAAAATATATATATATATATATATATATATATATATATATATATATAAGGAATAAGAAAGAAGACAAATAGAAGAAAAGAGAATAAAAGTGGGTGAAAGACAAAAGGAGAAGAAAAGAAAACGAGAAGCAAAAAAAATCGAAAGTAAAAGTAGATAAGCAAAGAAAAGTGAACGAAAGAAAAAGAAAGAAAGAGAAAAACGGATAAAGAACAGAATATATAAGGAAAAAAGGGAAAAAGGAGGAAAATAAAGGAAACGAGAGACAGCGAAGAAAAATAGAAAACATGAAATGAAAAAGAAAAAAAATAATGATGAAAAGTGAGAACGCTAGAGAAACAGAGAAGGAAAGGAAAACAAATAAGATCCTGAGAGAGAGATAAGGTAAGAAAGGGGCTGAATGAAGTGTAACACATCGCAATATATTCGATAAAGAAAGACACTAACGTTGAGAGAATCAAGGAGAAAGAAAAAAAGAAGATGAAAACAAAAAATAGAAAAGGAAAAAAAGAAAAAGAAATAAACGATGGTGAAAAATATGAGAAGGCTAGGGAAAGAGAAGGAAAATAAAACAAAGTGTAATTAAGATGCTGATAGAGAGAGGGAGGGAAGGGGACTGAATTAAGTGTAACCCTTCGTAATATATTCGATAAAGAAAAATACTAACGTCGGGAGAATCAAGGAGAAAGAAGAAAAAAAGATAAAAAGAAAAAAATAGAAATGGAAAGAAAAGAGAAAGGAAAAAGAATGATGTAAAGTGGGAAGGGTGGAGATAGAGAGAAGGAAAGTAAAAAAAAATGTAAATAAGACAGGTTGGAGAAAGGGAGGGAAAGGGACTGAATTAAGTACGACCCGTTGCAATATATTCGATAAAGAAAAGCACTAACGTCAAGAGAATCAAGGAGAAAGAAGACATTACATTAAAAGAAAAAAAAATAGAAAAGAAAAAAAAATGAGAAAAGGGAAAACGATGCTGAAAAAAGGGTAAAGAAAAAAAGGTTGAGAAAAAAAGAAAGTTTTTAAAACATAAAACAAGGAGATATAGAGAGAGTGAGAAAGAGAATGGGAGGGAGGGCCTGGATTAAGTGTAACCTGTCACAATATATTCGATAAAGAATATCACTAACGTCGAGAGCGTCAAGGATAAAATACGACAAGAAAATTAAAATGGCTGCCCACGGAAAGAGAAATTGAGAAATAGGATAAACAATTAAAAACTCATTGAACAGAAAAAAATGTATGCAACGGAAAAGATAAAACAAGAATGAAATAAGAAATAACTCGAACGGTGACACAAATTTTAAACGGTAAATAAATTAGTAACAATTTAAAATGGACGTTGATATATATGCCGTTTTCTTACTTTAGCCGGAAGTGAAGAATATTCTCATCAATTACTGAAAGAGGAAAAAAGTACCGGAAGCAGAATTATCTGCTTGACATGCGCAGCAGAAAAACGATACTCAACACAGAATAATCTGAACATAAAAAAATAAAGTAAAAAAGCCCTTAAGCAGAACTGAACACACTTTTATATATCGCTTTCAACATGAACAAGTCGAAAAGAAGCGTTCTTCTCCTCGTCGGATTCTAAGTGACTTTCCAGAAACATTCTCTTTTACTTTTGTCATTAAAATTTTAGTTTTTGCCTACTTGGGCACTTTCTAAAAAATAGTTGATTATATTTAATTTGGTGGGGGGATAATTAGAAAACCTCATTGTCATCCAAATGACTAAGGTGACAGAACGCTTAACAGACTTTTATTTTTAATTTAGCTTGCTTAGAAGATCTATTCAACAGTCTTTTACATGAAGAGAGGTTGTTTGCTTAAAAAAAATAAGCATTAGAAATCATGGTTTTCATATATGTAAGGCAAAAAAAAAAGCTATTAAAACACAAAATGCTAATCAGTGTGAAAGAATTAGTCTTTTCAGCTTGTGAAAACCTTTATGTAAAACCCTGTCAAAGGCTTCCGAGACGTCCAAAGCAACAGCCCGGGTATCAACATTTTTATCTCGAGCTTGATAAAATAATATCCGCAATTATCGTTAATACATCAGCATTTGACCTGAAGTAATGAAAGTCATATTGCTTGTCTGAAAAATGTTCTGCGATGAGGGATAATGAACCAATTCGTCATTGATTAAGGTATCTAGGAATTTTCCCAAAAGAGGTAGAAGGCTAATAGTGAGATTGTTAGAAGGGTCGAAAGGTTCATCAGAATTCTTAAAACTGAAATACATGGTGACTTCCAGCAGAGAGGAAAGCAGGAAGCAGTGAGGTATTTATTATGCAGTATAGGATATAAACTTCTATATTTTACTGTCAATAATAGCGTACACAGTGACCAAAGAAAAACTGAGACAAAACTTACTTTCGTCGTGGCGTTGTATGTAGAAAGATTATCGCTAACTGACGTGTCGCGACACACGTCAGTTAGCGATAATTTTTCTACGGGCCTGTTCGCTGACAGTTCCGTTTCAGATCTGTCTGCTAACTGTTCCGTTTCAGGTCTGGCCCTTGACTGTCGCAGACAAGTCGTTTTTATGGCTTATGACGAGTCGGTGACCGGATCACGAATTCTATCTGTGTTCTCCACAGGAACGTACTAGTAAAACAAGCCCTGACCTATTTCCATTTCATTTGGAGTTCAACCGCGCGGACGTCGTAGAGAGCACATCACGTGACTTGTCATATCCAATCAGGTTCCAGAAACCACTTATTTAATTTTGAACCCGTGTTTTGTACAGAATTTTAATGTTTTTTCGTATCTACTGATATTTCTATGATTTATTTGTAGGCGTCTCTTATTTGTCTGTGCCTCATTTATTGACCGTAAAATATAAGAGTTCATATCCTATAACAGGAGCCAGTTCGGGGGTACGGGTCTTAATACCTATTACAGGAATATTATCGGGTTCACATGCTTTGTGGGGATCTAGATTAGAGAGGATAGCATTATTTATGTCATGAAAAGAAACAAATATATATACTAACACAAGAAAATTAAATAAAAACTTAATCGCAGTAACATGTTAGTCGTCTTTAATCAAATTTGGTATATATACTAGCAGTAGAGCCCGGCGTTGCCCGGGGATATAACAGTAAGAGATAGATCAAGTATCCACCATCATAAGGACTGAAAAATAAAATTGACAAAGATTATTGTTTAAGGTTGACGGACACGCATGTCTTAATTAGTTTTTTTTTGATTATTTTTGTTTTTTTACGAATTGGTCAAAACCAAACTCAAACAAAAACATTGTTTTCAATCGTTATGAGTCTCTACCGATTGAATAGAATTTTATTATAAACAATTGTCTTGTAAATGGATTTTTTAAAGCAATCTGAATGTAAAAATAAAGAAAAAAGTGTGCAAGACAATAAGAAACACTACATGCCAAAAAAAAAAGTGAAGTTTTGTTGAAATCGGTTGAAAAATGTAGGTAGCCTTTCTGTAATCTTTTAGTTTTACAATTTATGATTTTTACTTATGGAATACAGTAATAAAAATTGCATATTTTGCTTGTGGTGATTCATAATTAGAATTCTGATTTGAATATATTTTCCACTCGTTGTTTCTAATACAAAAAAATATTAACTTTATTTGGGTTTATTAATTATGATCTAACAAATGTTATTTATTTAGTAGCCTTTCTGTAATAATAATCTTTTACAATTTATGATTTTTACTTATTGAATACAGTAAAAAAAAAATGGACACCACGTGTATTTAAAGTAGTTTCCGGTTATTATTTTTAGTTAGGACTTGTGTATGTTTAGATTTCATTATCTTTCCCTAAAGATAAAGAATTTATTCCGATGTTTGTATTCGTACAATCAGTAGAGATCGTTAGATTATTGTTTAAGGTTGACGGACACGCATGTCTTAATTATTATTTTTTTATTTTTTATTTTTTTTACGAATTGGTCAAACCCAAACTCAAACAAAAACATTGTTTTCAATCGTTATGAGTCTCACGATTGAATAGAATTTTATTATAAATAATTGTCTTGTAAATGGAATTTTTAAAGCATTGTGAATATTAAAAATAAAGAAAAAAGTGTGTAAGAGAATAAGAAACACTACCTGCCAAAAAAAAAAAAATGAAGTTTTGTTTTATCGGCTGAAAAATATAGGAAATCCGATCCCATATTTAAAGGAACCCACACGAATTGATTTTGTGCAAAAACAATTAAATTTTTCCCATTTTTGGCGCTGTTAGAACCACCACAAGTTAATTTTATGTAGTCCTGTGAAGTTTTGTTGAAATCCGTTGAAAAATCTAGGAAATCCGATCCAATATATAAACGTTACACACACACACACACACACACACACACACACACACACACACACACACACACACACACAATCTGCGTTTTATAATAAGTATATATATATATATATATATATATATATATATATATATATATATATAATTTACATTATTTGAACTGTTGTACTCATCTTTATTGCAATGATGAGGACAATAGTCCGAATAATGTAAATAGTGTACATAATACCTCATCTCAGAAATTATATAGACAGATATATATATATATATATATATGTGTGTGTGTGTGTGTGTGTATTTATATATATATATATATATATATATATATATATATATATATTAAAAGAAGGGTGGTGCCGCAAACGTTTTTGGTTGTAATGTGGATTTATTGAGAAAAATATTATACTTTTGTTTTACATAATTTCACGACACGTGTTTCTGGTCTGCAACCGTCTTCAGGTGAAAGTGGAGATTTCTACATATTATTAAAAATAATTAATTTTTCTTCATGTTCAATGTGGAATATTCTCGATATGAGACATTCTGTTTGTGTGCTGGCAATCCGAATTTTCTTTCTAGAATTGTCAATGAAGAGTTCTGCGCGAAGGGTCATAAAACAATTAAGGTTTGTCCAGCGAGTAGTTATCGGCATTTAATCTTTTAATGTTTTAGTGACCTTTATGTGCTCTTGGATCTGTTTCTATTTTGGTGTGTTCCTGTCAGCATGCGTATATATGCGTGCGTATATTTCCTTACTACGAGGAATTCGTAAACTTATTTGTACTTATACACGCATACACACACATACGCACATACACACTATCCCACCACAAGTAGTCAGTACACACACACATATACACACATATTTCCTAAGCTACATGGAACCAGTACACACACACACACACACACACACACACACACACACACACGCACACACACACACACACGTACTTCTTAAGTTGTCAACATCCGCATATACATACATAAATGTATGTATGTGTACATACACATATATATATCTCCTCGTGTCTCCCGTATATGAGTGTGCGTCCATGTATGTGAGCGATTTGATCATTGTATTTGGTCACCCTGTGTGCATGTTTTTTTTTTTTTTTTTTGTGGGTGGGGGTTACGATCTATTCAGTTCGGGTTTGAATTTGTCTATAAAGTTTTTTTCCTGTATTTGTAGATACGAGTAATTGTCTGTTTGATATATCGGCATGATATTAAACTTACCCTGGTTACATTTGAAAATGTGTTGTGATACAAAAAGTTTTCTGTTGTCTGTCAATTTTATATTGCTTTTGTGTAGGGAGACCCTGTTGTTCAGTTGTTGGCTGATGCCTATATATGACTTCTTACATTTTGTGCATTTAAGTGCATAAATTACATTTTTGGAGTTGCAGTTTAAGTTTTTGTTTATTGTGAATGTTTTTGGGTTTTGAAAAAAGTGTAGGAGTTTCCTTCTATAATGATGTCACAAACTCCACATCTTTTTTTGTTGGAATTTTGTGACTCCCTGTATTTTGTGTTGGCTAAATTTAGATGAGGTTAATATGTGTTTTAGGTTTCTAGATTGGCGTTTGCTCTTAATTATTTTGGTTGTTTTTAGTATATTATTCAGTTTATTATTCTTGCTAAGTAAATCTAGATTTTTTGTGATTTCTGGGAATATTTCTGGGTTGTTTTTGTTGTACGTTGAGACATATGCTAGAGTTTGTTCGACGTTACGTTTCTTTTTATTTCTAAGTTGGTCTAGAGGAATTTCTTTCGCGAGTTCAATACCTTTGTTTATTAGTGTTGTGAGGTAGCCTCGTTTCTTGAGAGTTTTATGTAGTTCTTCTAAGCGGATTTTTCGGAGATGTTTATCAGTCACTATTGTACAAATTCTACGTGCTAGGGAATAGGGGATGGATTTTAGGCAGCTTTTTTGGGTGATGGCTCTTGAAATGAACGTATTGTTGGGTGTCTGTGGGTTTGTGGTAGATATCTGTGATTATGTGGTTGTTTTTATTTCTAATGAGTATATCTAAAAATGGTAATTCGTTAAAATTATATTCTTGCGTGAATTTGATTTTTGGGTGTAAGTTTTGAAGTAGTGTATGGAATTGGTTAATATCACCCCATGATGATTTCCAAAAGATGAAGCAATCATCTAGATATCTTTTCAAGATTTAGTGAATTGGGTCTTTATATTTGTCCCATATATTTGTTCTATCTTTTCATAGAGGTTTTCTTCTAGGTAAGCTAATGTTAGGGTGGCATATGTTGGTGCCATTTTTGTTCCCATCGCAGTACCTAGGGTTTGGATAT